CACGCACGCGGCCGCCCCCTCGCCACGACTACAATCCCCTTCGTCGTTGCGCCACTCGCCCCCCTCCCGCCCCGCAGGTCTCTCCGCGGGACCGCGTGGCGGTGGACGTGTCTCGCGCGTCGCCCCGCGCACCTCGGGGCCCGCGGAGTGTCCTCCACCGCGTTCGGACGTCGCCGTCTCTCGGGTACCATATGGTCTCTCGCGTACACGTGAGACGACCCTCCGTTCCGACTCCACGTCGGTCCACGGCCGCTGGCCTGCGTTAACGTTACCTCGCCGTGGTGTGCGATCCGTTCGGCGCGCGATTGTTGAATTCGGATTGACGCGGTACCTGGTGAGCGAAGAGCCGTAATTCGAGAGAGGCCGAACGCGCCGGAAGGAATTGTCGCGCGCCGAGTCGTTGGATGTTCAATTGCGATTGTTTCTGTTTAACGAGCCTCCGTTCATCCGAGCGTCGTGCGACAGGCCTCGGCGAATGATCGCTGGCTTTTCGATTAAAAGCTGACAACCTTCGACGTAAGGACGCGGCGTCTCGCTGCACGTCTCCATGTGATAAGCGTTTGTTTTCGGTATACAGTTTGTTGAATACCGTGCCGGGGTTTGAGCGGATGTTCTAGGAAAGCGCCGACGTACAACATTGATAGGATGCGCACCGAATCGATATCTCTGTAGCCTTGCGCCGGAAAAAGGCTGCGGCTCAACGTGGACTTTTGTATTGCGCTTGCAATTCTTGTGATTTAAAGAGATTCGGCCTCAACTCGGTTTTACGTAAGAAATCGTAAACGTTTGACACGAAGGAAACGACGAAGTCGACGAATTAATCAGTAAATCAAATAACTTTTAAGAATAAATCACAAGGTTTAAGGTACACAACTTACTGAGATAAAACGCGACTCATGTAAAGCGACGACTGACGTGCATGTCATTATCTAATCGAGTTCCTTTCCAATCTGTTCTTATCTTTGTCGAGAATTCTCTATCTCGGTATGCGCCTTAACTTATGTGCGTTTTCTTTTTGTAGGAAATTCCACTCCCGTTGTTCTGTCAGACCCAATTGGCAGTCGAGTTGAGGAACCTCCTGCTGGGGGAGGGGCTCCACCGCCGAACGTCAATGACCAACTAAATACCAGTCCAGAGCACCAACCTGCAGATTCCTGGGAAGAAGCGGCGGTTGATGGGGATCCTCTACTTACTCCGGAAAACGAGGAAGTGAGTATAAACTTGCCCGGATGTTTCAGCGCGTACCTTTCTTCCGCAGCAGCGTGCGCTTTTATCGTGCAGACAAGTTGCATTTACATCGACCTCCGACGGGCTTTTCATTCTATCGTTATATCCCGTTTGTTTTCAGGCCGACAATGACGAGGACGAGGAACTGGTTGTTAAAGTACCCAAAAAGAAACCTGTCAAAGTAGCAGAGGACACTAAAAGCAAAAAGGAACACGTTAATGTTGTTTTCATAGGGCATGTGGGTGAGTAATAAATTTCTGAGGAGCATAAATGAAATATACAAGTTGCGCTGGAAAAGTTGGCGGGCGGGAGAGTCGCCACGATTGCACCTTTTGTGCGATCGATTGTCGGACGGCGTTATATCTGGCGTTTTGCAGACGCTGGGAAATCAACTATCGGCGGCCAGATCATGGCACTCACGGGAATGGTTGACAAACGTACCTTAGAGAAATACGAGCGGGAGGCAAAAGAGAGAAGTCGAGAAACATGGTACTTAAGTTGGGCGCTGGACACAAATCAAGAAGAGAGGGAAAAGGGGAAAACTGTGGAAGTAGGCAGGGCCTACTTCGAGACAGAACGAAAGCACTTTACAATATTAGACGCACCCGGCCATAAAAGCTTCGTACCGAATATGATTGGCGGCGCGGCGCAAGCCGACCTAGCGGTGCTCGTTATCTCCGCGAGGAAAGGCGAATTCGAGACGGGCTTTGACAGAGGGGGTCAAACGAGAGAGCACGCTATGCTCGCTAAAACCGCGGGTGTCAAGCATTTGGTTGTATTAGTGAATAAGATGGACGATCCTACTGTCGAGTGGGACGAAGGCCGATACAATGAATGCAGGTATGCATCGAGTGCGCGCGAGACTTAGAGATAGAAAACGTAGAGTGATTTTATTCGAGAAATTAATTGGAAATTGAACAGCTATTAGAGAACAGTTACTGAAACTATTAAGATTCCTTTTATTCCTAAAGTATACATTTTCTTTTGCTGGTGATAACCGATGAAAATATTGCATTTCTATCGATTCACACGAATAGAAAACCGTGTGTCTTTCAGGGATAAGATACTGCCATACCTTCGTAAATTAGGATTCAATCCTGCGAAAGATCTTACGTTCATGCCGGTTTCTGGTCAGCTCGGTATCGGATTAAAGGATCCGATCCCCGAACATCTCTGTAATTGGTACAGCGGCCCACCATTCATACCTTTTATCGATTCGCTACCCTCGCTCAATCGTAAGAGCAATGGACCTTTTATCATGCCGATCGTCGACAAATACAAAGACATGGGGACAGTAGTTATGGGCAAGGTCGAAGCGGGAGAGGCCAAAAAAGGACAGTCGTTGCTCGTTATGCCAAATAGGGTACGTATATATTCTTTGGTTCTGAAATTAATTCATAATTTGCATTGGCGCAAAATGTTCGTTGCCTTCTCTTGAGTTCCTTTCTGAAATTTGGAGGGCAAAGTCTCTTAAGGAGACGATTGTAAAGCAAGAAAAATTTTGCTTCAAGATCATAACTTTCAACTTCATTTAACGGGTAGAGATGATTTCTCGCGCCGAGTCTAATACCGAAGAATTGCAACATTTTCGTGATCGCATGACACTTTTAAGGCTTTCATATTTTGTCGTGCAAACGAAATGGATTAGTGAGAGTGTTTCAATTTAAATACGTAGACGGCAGTAACGGTGGACCAGCTGTGGTCGGACGACGAAGAGGTGACGTCTGTTGGGCCTGGGGAAAATGTCAAGATCAAGCTGAAAGGCATCGAAGAGGAAGATGTCAGTCCCGGATTTGTCCTGTGCGACAGCAACAATCCTATTAAGACCGGCAAGGTCTTCGACGCGCAGGTGGTGATTCTGGAACACAAGAGTATCATTTGCGCGGGATACAGCGCGGTCATGCACATCCATTGCGCGGCGGAGGAAGTCACGGTGAAGGCGCTGATCTGTCTGGTGGACAAGAAGACGGGCGATAAAAGTAAGACGAGGCCAAGGTTCGTGAAACAGGACCAGGTGGCTATAATGAGAATCGAGTGCGCGGGAGTTATATGTCTCGAAAGATTCAAGTTGTTCCAACAAATGGGCCGCTTCACTCTTAGGGATGAAAGTGAGTAGTACGGCGACGTCGCATCTCTTCCTCCCCTCGCCTCCGATTCCCTCCCTCCACCTCCCGTTGTTTGCTCCGCGACTGCGATAATGTTCATGTAAATGTGTACGCTTGTATGATTTCAGATAAAACTATCGCAATTGGCAAGGTGCTGAAAGTCGTCGAGTAAAGGAAAGAAAAACTTGCTTAAATGTTACGATAGATTAATAATAAAAAAAAAATTGATCATTATTTCAATGTGACAAATATTTGACGATGCAAGGCGAGCACACGAGATATTAAGCAAACCGAACGGGCATGATGAAATTCGGGCGAATTAGTAATAATGTAACATATAACACAACTCACACCTATGTACCGCAGAGCTATACAAACAATACGTGCGTCCACGTGTTACGACGCCAACGGGTAACGGGGTGGGGGGTGGGACGGGGGGGGGCAGAGCGGGGAGACGGGAAAAAAAATATTTATAGCCTGATACAAGAGCAAATAGATTTGACTATATAGATGAGGAGACATACACAATCGAAAGGGGGGGAAAAAAAGAAGAAAACTCAAGAGCGTGTGTTCCTTTTATTAGATAAGCTGAATGATGGCACTTGCATTGGAATAATTATAAAAAACGGATAATGATCAAATAATTAACCGTGTCTCCTTGATAATAAAACAAGAAAAAACACGATATTTTTATTCTTCTGAGATGCGACACATGGAAGCGGAGGCAGCGATCGATATCGATTGTGGAATTAACATTAAGGAAATATATGATTAATATTATAATTATTATTGAATAATTATTATTAAAGTGGTGGTAAGAGTTGGAAAAAGAAATTTATTGAATAAATCAACAAAATAGTGTTACACAACAATTTATAATTATAAAATTAATATTACAATTATTATTATACTGTTTCTTATTATATTGTCATTAAAAACAAATTTGCAAAAAAGTGTGCCCTGATAATTTTAATGGGAACGTGGATGCGCGTCACCGTGCATCCCTGCAGTATGACGGATCTCCTATCGTGTTAAAATATTATATATTCGAGCCTCGAGAATATATATATATACAATATATATATGTATATTCAAGTCAGAGGCAGATGGAATAAATCTGAATGTTGCACATGTTTCGGGGGACTTGCAAATGTTCAAGGCGCAACAAATGCGCCCCGCGCCATGGCAGTCTATCGCCCTAAAACTCGCTCGAAGCGCGCCGCGATCGTTCGCGTGATACGAACGGACGACGGAGGAGAAAAAAAAAGAAGAGGGAACGCGCGAACTTCGACGTACGCTTCGCGACTCTTCCTGCCTTGAGAGAGAACATTTTACTTTTCCACAAGGCGGAGAAAAACTCGAGTCGTACACGAGAGACTTTCACGACTCGAGTTTTGTTTGTTTCTAGAGACAGCGTTCACGGATCGTTTTCCGCCGTCGGCCTTTGTCTTTATACATTTATCCTTTCTACATTCGCGTGGCATTGCAGCTCCTCGCGGGACGAACGCCTGTGCCGAGTTCAACGGGAAGCGAGCTTTGTCTTTCGTACGGTGTTTAATTTCATTTTCGTACACCTCGCTTCCCTGCCGCCAAAACAATCGCCGACCGCGGGCAACTTCAGGGCGCTAGGCCTAGTGCCTTCTTTTGCCGCGCGCGCTTCCCTCCCCCCCCGCACTTGTTTCAAGCGGACGTTTCGTTCCACTCGCATCTTCCCGCGCGGAAAAGTCGCTCGAGCGGGGTCCCTGTTCCGCCCTGAAGAAGACGCGCCCGGTCTCGCTTCGAGTGCAGGAAGAATGCCGGGGAACGTAAGTAGAGGGACCGTGGATGTCCCGCCGTCCTTCGCTCTTTCGTCCCGCCTGCGTCCGAGTCGCGGGCGCCATTGTCAAGTCGCGTCCCTCGGTTTCCGGGAAGCTGTCTGTTCTCCTCTTATTTTTTTCGTTCCCCCGTGTTCTCCTCTAGCGCGTGGCTGAGTCGTTCGCGCGAGGCGCGGTCATTGGGGATCCGGGGCCAGTTTCGCGTAGCCGAGCTTCTGGAGCGCCTCCTTGATCTCGCGGTACACCGTTGGATCCTCGATCGTACTTGGAATCTGAAAGAGGCCCGTGGCTAGAGACCGGCGACGACGGTCGCGGAGGAACGGCGCGAGGGGTGAGTTTCCTCTTTCGCTTTTGCATGAACTCTGCGAGAGACCTGTCTCTCTCTCTCTCTCTCTCTCTCGAAATATCGCGCTACTGTAATTAATCCTTTCGCGGCCGAGTTATTTCTTACTTTTCGACTGTTCAATAGCCCGTTAAACGCCGACTACCAACCCAAGGAGAAACGAAAAGCCAAGATGATGTCGAGTTGGTGTCAAATTGACCAAAATATGACAAATTTGTCGATTTGATGTCACATTGGCCAAATTTGTGTCATATTTTGGTCGATGTAACACGAAATCGACGTCATCTTGATTTTTCACTTCTCCTTGGGGAAGTTGAACGACACCGATGTTACAAGTTCAGCGCTCAACAATGTAAATGTAACACATGCTTCGTTTACTGTTACAGAAGAGTCCCCTATTAGGGTAGGATCCTAATATGGGATAGCGAGGTTTCTGTTAAATTAATAGGCAGCTCATCGGACGATTCCACCATGAGTAGCCTTTGGAGCGAGGTCTGTTTAGCGGAAGACTCCTCGTTAGATCGTGTAATCGTTGCGAGGAGAGACGTGCGATTGAATGTGGACGTTGAAAACCTGCCGTCTCACATTAGAGACCTATCTCATGATAGAGGCGGTTCCTCTACATTGTTGAGCAGAGGAGATTGTCACATCGATGTTCTGTTACTGTTCGTTTATCGGCGTTTACTGTAAATATTACAGAGAGCCCGGTAGATCGTTCGGATCTTTTTAAAATCTAGGAATCAAGCGAATAAACCATCCGCCGGCCTGATGTCGGCTAGCAATTCTCTTTACTGTTTCTAAATTTTGCAACCCGTAACGTCCCGGAGGGTTGATACTCGTGCGCCCGTCACTTCCGCTCGCGGGCGGATAACGACTCGCGCTCGGAACGGTCCAATTTGTTCTCCCGTCGATCGGCATTTGATCGAGAGTTTAACTCGTACCTTGACTTGCTTCGACCGCGCCAAAGTGGCGATCGATTTACGGACGATCTTCCCCGAGCGCGTTTTGGGTAGCGCGGTAATGGCGGCGGCGACGCGAAAGGAGGCGATCGGCCCGATCATGTTCCGCACCCGCGCGACCAGCTCTTGGTTGATCTCCTCCTCGTTGCTCGTCGCGTCTAAAAGAAGGATACCCTTATCAGATTCAGCCGCGATTATTTCGCAATTATATTGGATTCTCGTTAACTCGTTGAAAAAGATCGGAGCGCAAGAAGCTGCAATTAAATCGCAATCGTTTCCGCTCCTTGTGGCTAAATTAATATTTTTGAATTGTCATATGTAGGCATATTAGTTATCAACTAATTAACAGGGTTGGGAAAGCTACTTTATAAAAGTATCTGGTTGCAGCTACAGTTTTTTCGCTGGAAATGTAACTAGTTACAGTTACAAGTTAGCAATTCTGAAAAGTAACGCGTTACAGTTACGGTTACTCGAAAAGAAACGAATCGTTACTTTGCAGTTATTTACTTGCGATGAAAGTAAAACTGTTAAGTCTGCATTTAAATTATTAAGTGTCGGTAAAGGCGTTTATGCGCTTGTGCAAAGCTTAGTGCGATCTGTGGAGGTTCAAAAAATATATAAAGTAACTGTTAAATAATAGTTGAATGTAGCTGAGTTAAGTTACAGACGTAGAGAAAGTAACGAAGTTAAGTTAGAGTTACTAAAAAAAAAGTAACTGTAACTGTCCCATACAGCACCAAAGCTTCCAGAAACATTTCAGAAAACATTATTGCAATGTTGCAATGTTTCTGAAATGTTTCTGAAAGCTTTGGTGCTGTATGGGGTAGCTTCGTCACAAGTAACGAGTTACTTCCCATCCTTACCAATTAATTATGTATACAAAGTATAATTACTAGTGAGATGTATGGTAAAATTTCAACAAACTCTCACAAAGTTCCTCGAAATTTTAAGAGCAAATTCTTTCCGTGCAGAATCGCCCGCAGTACAATTTCTAACATGCATGTAACTCATTATTCTTAATCTAATTCTCCTTTCCACGTGTCAAACAACACGAAATACCACGAACAAGAAATGAATATCCTAGAGAAAATGATCCGGATATTATTTCACAAGTTAATCGGCGTTTGGTTGAAATCGCCCCCTTAATATTGAGTTGTACTGAGATTTACAATTCGCGGCGGAAAAGCTGTTGCTGGACGCCGACATTAAAGATGATAAGCGCTTCTTCCGCGATACCTTCTCGTCTGACGTAAAGGCACAGCGGCACCTCGCCCTTCGTGTGATCGGGCACCCCGACGACCGCCGCGTCCACCACGTCGTCATGAGCTAAAATAATATCCTCCAACGCAGCCGTGGATATTCTATGGCCGGCCACGTTGATAATGTCATCGTCCCTCGCCGTGACGTAAACGTAGCCGAACTCGTCGATGTACCCCGCGTCCATCGTGTCGTAGTAACCCTGCAAGAGCATCGGTATCTCATCCCGCTATCGAAACAAAACCGGGTGTTCAATGATGCCGTAACGATTTCAACAATGGATCTTCCGGGGGTTTCTTCTCTTGGCCGGAAATATCCTCGGCACCGATAGCTTTAGTCAGATGACTCGAGTAGGAGGTAATAGGCGGTGACTCGCGAAAATCGGCCGAAATGTGCAAATCGTAGACAGCTTTAGGGTTTCAAGCGAAAGGTTCTCGCGGGCTGAGTCTTAAGGGGAAATAGGGGTGTAGGGTCTAAAAAGAAGTAGGATTATGTGTACAGAGCAGGGCTGTCTTACTCGCAATCAGTTAAAGAAAACTTTTCAAGACGGGGAGAGGCTTTTCAGAGCAGAAAGAGATTTTCCGAATCACGGGGATTTTTTTGGAGTCTTTTACCTTGAAAATTTGTTATCCAAATGTTTTGACAGCAGAGCTGTCTTACTCACAATCAGTTAAAGAAAACTTTTCAAGACGGGGAGAGGCTTTTCAGAGCAGAAAGAGGTTTTCCGAATCACGGGGGTTTTTTTCGGAGTCTTTCACCTTGAAAATTTGTTATCCAAATGTTTCTTCGGCCAAGCGACACAACCCCGTTTCTATCCCGTTTCTATCCCGTGCGAAACATGTGTTCGTTCCGCGGCATCGTTAAGCGTAATTAGCACCTGCCGTGTATTTACTTACCGGGAATGTCGAGAAGTATACTTGCTTGAACCTCTCGGATGCCTGATAAAGGGTCGACATGCATCCAGGTGGCAGCGGTAACTTTATCGCGATACGTCCGAGTTCGTGCGGCGACGCTTTGCTCCCGTCCTCGCGCAGGATGCGTACTGTCGATGAGATGAATTCACAAAGTGATTTAGCACAGGGACGAACGGAGAGTTTATTATACGAAGCGAAATTATTTAGACGGGGAGATGATCAAGGGTAGGATTATAATAAAACAAAAAAGAAGAAGAAAAAATGGAGCCGAGGGAAACGAACGATCGAGGGGACTCACTGTCGTAACCGGGTATGGAGAGCCCCGTGCTGAACTTGGGCAAATTCGCGTGGTGACCGTATCCCAAGCACAGCGCCGTGATGGGATGTCCAGTCTCCGATTGCCACCAGTTGTTCAAGATCGGCACTTTGAACGCCTTCTCGGCCCAAGCCTTCGTTTCGTAGTCGCAAAACTCACCGGCCACGAATATCGTTTTTAAGCTGAAAGCAAAACTTGTTCGTCTTTTCGGGCTGTTGGGAATTTGTTTATTTATGAGAAAAAGCTTCTCTCTCTCTCGAGACGACCCCCCCTCGGGGGGCGGGGGGGCAATTAGTGGATCGCTTTGAAACTTACGATTTTAACGAAAACTTTCTTCCTAATAGCGTTTCCGGATCCACTCGTCTTATAACTCGCAGAGCAGTGGGCACGCAAAACAACGCGTTTACGCCATGTTGTTCGATGATTCTGGGGGGAAAAAAAGAGAGGACTCGCTTAAAATCAATTAGTTCATAAAGAAATTCTCAATTACATTTATCCACGGTAGAGATAGCGTGATATAGTGAAAATAGAACGATCCACTAAAGTAGTAAAAATGAAATAAGTGAGACGCGCGCGAGTATTGTGCATTTGCGTACAAACTGCGAAAGACTCGCTGAGGAAACATGGACTTCTCGAACGATCATAACTCGAAAGAGAAAACAATGCGACTTCGAAAAGAATCGGCGAATGCTATTATTATGACTTCCTCGGTTTTTCTCAGAGCTGATCTTTCGTCGTTGACAAAGCAAAATATTTGCAGACCTCTTAAGCCGCGCATTTCTGTTTTCCGAGACAGAACCTGACAAAAACTTTTATTTCGGATAAGAGAAATTCGTCTACCAGAGAACTGCTTCCCTCGTTTCCCGATAGTGTTTTAATCAATGAATTAAAAAGTGTTTAAAACCTGAAGTATTGACTAGCATCCGGCGTTCTATCGGGTTTCCCTTCGTACATGACGCTCGTCGCGCCGTAGACGAGAGGGCCGTAGCAAATGTAGGAATGCCCGACGACCCATCCCATGTCGGAGGCCACCCACCAAATGGAGTTCTTATTCATTCCATAAACCGTCTTCATGGTCCAGCAGAGTGTCGCCAAGTGGCCGCCGATCGGTCTTATAATCCCCTTCGGCTGCCCTAGTGTCATAACAATTCTCGTGATCGCGTAACAGGAGCATCATTTTGGTTCGTTCAAAGAGAGATAACGCATTACAAAGACGTAAAGGGACGACAGAGAGAGAGAGAGAGAGTGTCGAGGGAACGATGAGGGGATTGTCTAGGCGTAGGTAGTGAAAGGAAGGAAATTACACGAGATGAGAACTCCTCGCTTCATTTCCAGAGGCGTTTCCTGGATTTAGCCGCGTACGTATCTCAAGACACACCTGTGGTTCCTGACGTGTACAATATATACAGTGGATCGTTAGCTTCAACCATTACGCACGGATGAGGTTTCGATCGCTTCATGAGATCGTCCCAGTCGAGCTGTGACTCGAGTAGCGGAGCCTCCCACACGTTTCTTCTCTGAAATACGATGCACTTCGGCCTCGGTGCAACGATCATATCCATGGCGCCGTTTAGCATTGTAGTATACCTGCATGTCGAGTCACGCGAATTAAAGGAGGAATGTAAGGAGGAGATTGAGCGAAGTGTCGAATATGTGATAGCGAATTTGGTTGCTCGCACTGTGGCTTGTTCGGAGTCAATTCTTATATTTATGCTCTCTCAAATACACGTTTCAAAATTATTCAACCAGAAAAAAAGAGATCCGCGCCGATGCTGTGCACACTTTGCTGGCTAAGAAGAATTTCAAGGGGGATTTAATAATTATATTAATATTAATTGTCGGAGAACGGAATTGTGTCACTTAATATTAGCATTTCTATTAAATATTAATATCCGTGATCCAACATGTCACAAACGTTTCTCTTGGGGAACTCTTTAGGAATTTAGCTGTAAGCTGCTACTTTTTTTAATGCAATTTTGTCAAAATATCTCGGATAAAGAGACATACTTAATCACTTTGGACGGTTCGAGACCGCAACTCGCCGCAATAATAACCTTCGGCTCGGCATGGTCTATTCTGGACGCCAGTTCGTTCGCTGCGAAGCCTGAAACGAATATTTACAAGTATAATCGTATTGTATTGACAATCGTATTGATTATTGTTTAAAATAGAAGTAGGTATTTTATTACGCGACTCAGGCTCTTATATTATGAACAAAGCGACTTGACATTTAAAAGAGCCTGGAAGAATTGGCGTATCCGTCTTCGAAGTAAAAACAAATTTATCAAGAATCATTTGACGCAGATAAATGACCATGATTAAGCAGTTGATCGGCCATGACTGGCGATGTGTTTTTAGCACAGAAAATTTATTGCGAAAAATATTACATCAGCCAGGGTTTGAACCTGGACCTGGACCTCCATATTTATACATGCCTCGGTGGTCGAATTGGTTGAGACGCTCGCCCTAGAGTGAAGGGAGGCGCAGGTTCACACCCTGGCCAAGGTAATATTTTTCGCAATAAATTTTCTGTGTTAAAAACACATCGCCAGTCACGGTTGATCAACTGCTTAATCGTAAAAACGAATTCTTTTAAGATAAAAGGTCTTAAAATAGAAGAAACGGATAAGAGATGCAAGAAAGATGAATACGTAAATTTTAATCGTACAGTCAGTTTTACAATTCGTCTGCGTTTTTCTGTTGACTCTATTTTTTGGTGCGCTCCGTGTAAAAAGATCCACGTGGCACTTTAACAGTGAAACTTAATTTACGTAACGGCCGTGATAACCGTCACCTTGTCGTTACCTCCAAAGACCACGGAGTGAATCGCCCCGAGTCTGGCAGTGGCGAGAATCGCGATTATAGTCTCGGGGATCAGCGGCATGTATATAATCACCCTGTCCCCTTTGCGCACACCAAGATCCGCCAACGCGCCCGCCAGCACGGATGTCTTTTCCAACAGCTCGTTGTACGTCACTTTGCGTATTAATGACGTTTGGGGACTGTCGTGGATGAGGGCTGTCTTCTCCCCGTACCCTGCGTGCACGTGCCGATCCACCGCGTTGTAACATGCGTTCAGTTCACCGCCGACAAACCTGCGTGAAGGAAAAGCAAGGGCTACGATCCTTTTTGCCGCGAGTATTCCCGCAAGGCATATTAGAGGGATCTTATTATATTAATTGCTATTATAGTAGCTGTTCCCTTAAGGTAAAGCTCTCTGTGGCTCTGGCTCTTAATATCTATTTAAACATAACTTCGCGTGAATTCAAAGTTAAATTCTTCAATCTAGAAAATTTCTGGTAAAGGTAATTTTCGATGGAAAGATGTAGAGTTTCGCAAGAAAAGTCTCGGAAATGAATGACGTCAGCTGAAAGATTATCTGCAATAGTTTCTTGTTCTTTTAGAATTTGTTACTGTGGGAATAAAAAATTGATCAGTTTTGAAAGAATTACGCGACCAGAATCACGATGCGGTTCTTTTAACGATTCTTTTTGAGATACCATTTCGTGAACGGCTCGTTGGAATTGTCCAGGACCTTGTGCCAAGGCTTGCTCCAGTCGATACAGCCGGCAATCTCGCCCCAAAATTCTTCCGGATGCTCCAATGACTTCTTATACGCTTCTTCATACGTAGAGCACTCGTACCAATGCGGATTCATAATATAATCTGCAAGAACACAGTAATCAAGACGATCTTATCACGCGCAAAGCGCGACATCTGCCTCCGATCCTTGCTGAAGCTTGATATCGAAAATGATATTTTATAAACTTGACAAAAGCTAGCGTGTCTAGTTTGCGTGACTATTGCAGTGAAACAGAAGTGTCTGGCACTCATACACGTCACAGCAAACATCTATATTATCTTCTAATTTTCCGCTTAAACGCATTTTACAAAACGTTTTGTAGTAATTACTATTTATCTTTCATTTATCTTTTACATAATATTTTCGCAAGAAATATTATTGACAATAGGGAAATGTAAAGGATAAAGTATCGCAAATATATTGTAATGTATTGTGTTTTACTTTATATAAGCGAAGATTATATAAAATAAATCAACATAAATTTGATTAGATTCCGGGGCATATTTATGTTATCACGAAAAGTATGAAATTTTATTGAAACATTACAAATACGTTTTCCATTTTGCGAAAGAGCTATCGCAATTATCCAAATATTTTAATTTTTGAATTTAAAGCCACGCCAAATTTCACAAAACGATGAAGAAATCTTACAAGTGCTGTTATTTTTATCGCACAAATAAAGTATACTAATCTGTAGATAAAAATAGGCCAAGTATCATAATCATTACGTGTTATAGTGATTACGTGTATCGTAAACCACGCTTTTAATGAGTTCCTGCATTCGATCACTTGAGAGTTTTGTGAGAAATATCGTGTGATAACAAAAAAATTTTCGCATCGAAACAAAGCTTCCTCTATGAGGAAGCAATATTGCATATTATAAGTTTCTTCGTAGCACAATTTAAGTTATTTAAATAAGGCAATCATAGATTGGTTAAAATAGCGCTTACGTAACTTAAGGAAACATGCAGAGTAGTTAGTTCGAGTGTTTTCAAAGACATGGGTAATTAATTAATCTTTTCAAGCATGGTGTAACATATAGTTACACCTCCCGGAATGAAAAAACCAACACTTCTTTCTCTCCTTACTACTTCATATCTAGAAGATTTTTCGTTTGCCAATTCTGAATCTGAAGGCGAAATTCTAAAATTATCGACGATTGACTCAATATAGCAGCTCAAAGTTATATACTTCAGTCGTGTTGTTTGCAGCTGTAAAACCAAGTAATTTTTAGCGAGAGCAAATGGCGCGCGCTTGCGTTGTCTGGTATTTTAAAATAACCATATTGCCATGTTCTCATTAATTGTATCAGTTAATTTTGCGCGCCCGTCTCATACTGCGATCGTTATTTCTTTTACTTTATTATCGAAGGGACATAATAAATTTTCGCGCATCGATTCCTCGGCCCGTCCTCTTATCATCGGGATTTCATGTCGAGGAGCTTAAATTGAATTTCGCTCCTTGCGCGTAATTTATGTTTTTACAACGTATTTTATTAATTACCCGCGATTTTGACTTTTTTTTTCCTATCGCCCCGTTTAATTATAGTGAGATAACGACGCGAGACGTTGTAGTATAATTTACAACGTTTCCTCGGCGCGATGATGCCGACTCGCCGACACTTTTTACTCAGCATGAATAATTCAGTCCAACGCGCTGCGCGTACATCGCGCTTTACACGAGAAATTCACGTAGCAATTTTCTATCCGGGCCGCTTTCCTTTAGCGCGGTCTCGCCCACGTGTTTGTTTTCGCATATTGTAAATTACGGTGGTACGACGCGCGACATACTGTCTTAATACACCTCAATGTCGGCGAGGTCGCGAATATCCGAGAGAATCGCAGGGAAAACCGCCGTGAATACCACCTTCCTGCCTCGCCTCGTCTCACTCCGATTCTCCCTGTAACCACGCATCGCCACGCATCCCGTGGGGTCACCACCGCGATATTTATCCGTTACGGAGAAATGTAACGCGACTGGGGAACGGTGACTGGAAATGAAAACGTTCGAGACATTAGCTCGAACTCTCTTTACAACGCGTAGATTACGTTTCTCATTTTATTTATTCAGTTACTTTTTGTCTCCCAATAAGTGAGCACTCGGTTACTTTTTATCTAGCAATAAGTGAGGATTCGATAAATTTCTCGCGGGGGATGACAGGACGATCCATTGCGTGAATAAAACGGAAATCGTCGAGTGGTATTTACGTAAAGTATATATTTTTGCGATACGAAATAAATGTGTATAGATGTATAGTTTCGCACAAAAGGATTTATCGCCAGCAATATAAAACAAATGATAGTTTATTGAAACGACCTGCACTGGCCAATGTTTTTATTTTAAAAAACTAACGACGTTTCGGTCCGGGATTTGGACCCTTCTCAGGTATTCTGCCAACATACATAACTTGACATTATTTTTTTAAATATAATAATAATGAAAACATTGGCCAGTGTAGGTCGTTTCAATAAACTATCATTCGATGTATAGTTTGACTGGCGACGAAAAGTATACAGCAACGAGGAGGTTCGCATTTTTCTTTCGTAATAACATAATTTTTTAACTATTCTCCTCTTACTGGAAAGCGGCAATTCACTTCGGATGCTCTAGATTTAGTTCACTCCCTCGAGAAATTTCTTTACACTGCTTCACTTTCTTTCTCCATTATATGTGACAGTGCTTCCATATCGTATGTGTCACTAGATGTATAAACTACTTTGCAGAAAATTTAATATTAGCAAGTAATATTTATATAATATTTTGGTTAATTTATAATAAAAGGTGTATCCAAGTAGATTAGGAAATTATTCATATATTGAGAGAAACAGAGAGAGAGAGAGAGAGAGGGATGGGGGGCAGGGAGGGAGGGAGAGGAGAGGACAGAGGAAAAATTATTTTAAAATATTACGTGCAAAGTTCTGACGAGGCAAAGTCACGACTTGAATCTGCTTGCGATGAATATTTTAGCTTTATGCCCTCTTTTACAAACATGTCTCCCGCGAAAGTCCTCGGGGGGGTATGGGACCGAAGAGTTCTCAGGATGTGTGGCACCTTATTTCAGAGAAATGGGGAGTCACGCAACCCGGAGGCAACTTTATTAGAGAGAACTCGTAGAAGAGCTAGTCGTGACAATAGCGGACCGGGCGGCACTGTGAGCAATCGTCGGATCTCGGGATTCTGTGCGGTCAATCCACGTTGTGCCGCAATTTAGCGTCTGGTCGGTAGACAGGCTTGATGTTTCCAAATGAACTTTTACACGCTTCACGTTAGGCCTTAAGTATGCCTGTTTCATTGTAGTCCGACACATGCGAGAACCTTGCGAGGGAAATTATTAATAAGTGACAATCTCACGGGATCGTACGACCGTCAGATCATTTTCTGTCGGTCGAGAGTACTTCCTCAGAAAGCTCCACGAATTTATTTCTCTTCGCACATCGAGGGAGAGAATGATATTAAGTTTAATATTAAACACGTTAATCGTACTATTTATTTCTCATTATCGAGCTATCTTTTTCAACGCCTGCATGCGCTCGTTAAAACAAAAGTATTAAATTAATTTGTATCGTGCTCTCAATTTGTATCTGACCTGCGTAATTTGTAGTGGAGTGAAGAAGAATAGGTGGGGAGAACAATATGCTGCAGCAGCGGGATAACAGCAGATGCGCCCGATAATTTAATTCAAGCGCTAGATAGTGTCGACGAATCTCCGTTGCCGATGGAATCCGCTGCTATCGGCGCTAATTGAGCGAATATCGAATAAAATCTGGATGCGTAGTAAAATCATCCGTAAAGTGCTCTGTGTTTTCAAGATTGTTAGCGTAAACAGTACGCCCGGTGTTGCAGAAATGTAAGGCTTTCGTTACATTTTCGCTCATTTTTAAACGAGAGTACATCGGTCAGTCGAATGTATTTTCTCTCTGTTACACGCACACACACACGTAATATTGTCAACACTGCGAAATATTGATAAACGCTTTTACCGGGCTATTTCATTATTTCCTGAAAAAATGTCAAAATTGACGAATCGTAAAACTGACAGTTATGAAAATTTTACGAACATTCGTCCTACTCGAAAACGAAAGATTAAAAGGATATTTCTATTTCAGAAATAAATAGTTGAAATTTAAATTGAAAGTTAAAAGCAGTACAGATTGTGTGCGGATAACAGATTAGAATTTAATATTTACAACAAAGTCAAACGTGTTAATAAGAATTTCGTAAATTATCTTAATTACTAAACTCGTGGAAGGCATAAAAATTGGAAGTTCATATGAGATCACTTGTCGCTTATTCCTCATCGACAGAGCGCAGCTCATTATTTTATCAGCGAGGTTTCTCGTCGTAGAATATTTCTACATTTTTCTTAAACTACTTGCTCATTTGACCTTCGTTGCTCAAAACTATGATGACCAGGATTTACACAAACTGTCACGTTACTGGATAAAATGTAGAAGCTGAATTTCAATTGAACTACTTGGTAATCAAAAAAAATGTGGTAGTTGTGCATCTCGCGCTTACTTATGAGTTCCCTCCCTCTCTTGCTTCGTGAATTTAGTTTATTACATTAAAAAAGGGTGTTTAGAGGGCGAACACACACAATTATGAGATATATTTTACCAAATACAATTTTAGTTTCTCATTGCTATAAGGTTCGGCAAAGTTGTCAGTGTAGTGCAAAACACTCAAGACATTAACATATAACCTTTTAAAAGAAATTCAAGACAAAAGGGTGAAACATCTATCACCTACAATAAAAAGATATTTAAGGTGACTCCTGCATAAACCGACCAAAAGTAGAAAAAAAATTGAAAAATCAGACCTGATCGCCGATGCAGTAAATGAAAGAAAAATATTAAAATCGTACTTTTTTAACACCCCAGTAAACACCAAGTAACAGTTACGTCAATATTATAATTTCCTATTCAACAATATATGTTATATAACGTCGTATGTACGTAACATCAATATTATAATGTCCTACTCAACAATATAAATGTTATATAATATTGTATGTAGTAAACATCAACTGTTACATGGTGTTTACTGGACTGTTATCAACCTGTTATCTTTTAAAACAAAAATCTTTTAAAATTTTTAATTTTAAAACTTTTTTTAAGATAAATGAAAGATAAATGGTAATTAGTGCGAAACGTTTTGTAAAATGCTTTTAAGCGCGAATTAGAAGATAATATAAATATAAATACCTTTGTCCCCCAAAAACAATCAAGTTTTTTAAATAGCGATAAAAGCAGAATTACTAATAGAAATTTATGTTCACGTATCCCTTTATTCTTTTCACCATCGTTATATTCATTAAAGAAACGACTTGCGAGAGTGACCCGATGTTTGTACATCATATGGATACATGAAATTTGCATATACAATGCAGGAAAAAGATAGCGTTATACCGATTGAAGCTAAAACTCGAATCGCCGTGAATAGTACAAAATTCTTGTAGAAGGGAAAGAAGAGAAAGAAAACGTGTCGTTTTACCGCACCGCGTTATTTGTGCACCAACGCTTTAGATTGTATTCATCACAAATTGAAATTATCTATTGAACCAATCATAGGATTAATTGTGTTCATTTATTTCGTCTAAAATAATCTTATATCAAGATAATTATAGACCTTACACGTCTGTTATGTGTTTAAAATTCTGATCTTTTGAAAATAATTTGGAATCATCCATTGGAAATATTATATGGCGACACGGTCAGCGACACGTATTTCAATATATCTTCGCGTTGTTGAGTTTTGTTAATTTACACCCGGTTTTACTTATTAATATAATATAAAAGGAATATGTACCGTTGCCGTCTCCTCTTCGTGATATCCTCGGACGCATGATGCATGATTCCAAGCATGGTTTTCCTGAGCTTTCGGGCTTGGCGTCCAAGAAATCAGGATTCCTCTGATGCAGCATTTTGCGGCTGTCGATCGAAGCAATGCCCACACACGATACTTACAGTCTGTAATAGCAGTAGCGTCTCTGTGTCCACGGAGTGGGGTCCATCCACGGTGTGACGACAACTGTACGTTTGACATATTCATTGACTTAAGGAGGGATTTTAAGATACAATACAACACGAAAAAAAAAAGGAATTTTTAGCATTTTTTTTAAAAGACTGTATTTAATCAATTGTTTTAGAAACTACGCTGTTCTTTTATCTAAGGATTGAAATATACAATATTTTTTTGTTTGTTACTTGTCATTTTGACAGATTTATTAACAAATTATGTCCCTAAAAAGTAAGAAATTTTTGTTCTATTTTTATTTTAGATGATTGCAAAACGAGCTAGAACTCTGCCGTTTTGCCGAGACGAGGACAATTGTCCTTCCATTTTTAATTTATAAATATTTTCTTAGCAAACAAATTTTTTTGTACTTCAATCCTTAAATAAAAGAATTTAATTTCTAGAACGATTGATTAAATACATTCTTTTAAAGAAATTCCCGAAAATTTCATTATTTTTCGTGTTCTGTCCACTATAGGCCACTAGCAATCTACGAGCCATGGACTGTCAGAAACGAAAAAATTCAGGACATTAATTAAAGTATATAAAATTATGAAAACAATTTTTTCCATACTTACCATTTAAAATGGCCTGACCAATATGGCGTACCAAAAAAAACTTTTTTTCGATGAAAAGTTATATCCGCCATCTTGAATTTCGGGAATCTGAGTGCATATTCGTAATCAGCGACCCGAAAAAACCCTGTATATAACTTTTCAACGAAAAAGTTACCTTTTTGGAAAATTTGGTCCGCTATATTGGTCTGCCATTTTGAAAGTACGGAAAATTTTTTTTCATAATTTTATATATTTTGATCTAATGTCCTGAAGTTTTTATTTCTGGCAGTCTTGTAAATTGCTGGTAACTTATAATGGATTAATGCGTCTATTATAGATATGCTGACATTCTAAGCATGAGTACGCTACATGCATCTAGAAATAATCTAAGTTTCACAATTTGGATTGCAAAGCAATACAATTAAATCCAAGAAAACGTATAATTACACGACAGTCCGTAATATTAACTAATTGTAAGCTTAGCTTGCCAAGTGTAATATGACTTATTCTTTGACATCCTTAATAATTTTAGATGCAAATGTTAACTTCCAGACTGAATTAATGAAATATGTCAAATTTACGACATTGTATACTGAGAAAAAGAAGTATTGAATAAAAAAGATACTTCTTCATTCAACTGTATAGTCACGGGCTAGCATAGAGCCAAGCATACTCGAGCAGTGAGGCAAAATTAAATCTTTTTTCAATTAAAAAACATATGTTTTGATAAATATCATTACTTATTTAACATTGTAATTTTATACGCACTTGGAATATTGTTCGATAGTTAATCAAAGTAGTTTTAATGCAACCCAGGCGCGCTATTTTGTTATACATTAATTTTGTCTTAAAATCACTTTATTTAATACTAATTTACACGGCATGTTTTGTAAGTATATATATATATATATATCTTGTGTTTTGTAAAATTAAATATATATTATTTCTCTTGTGTCTATGTACAGGGTGTACCGCAATTCGTGATCGAAATTTTAATAACATATTTTTGAGCAAAATGTAAGACGAAAATCCTAATACGAAAATGTCGAGGCTATAATACTTTTCAAATGGGAAGCATTTATAATAGTCAAATCAGGTAGTCTAAAGTTCGCGCGTTCAGGGACGGTACATTGCACAGTGATAAAGGTACTCTAGCATCTTTGCCGATATACCTAAAAAAATTTAAGTAATTATATGTACAATGATGCTGATGTTATTGATTGAGGCATATTTAAACATGAAAAAATAAAAAAAATAAATTAAAAATAATAAATATGAGAAGTTGTCCACATGAGAAGTTGTCAACTTATGAAATGTCACAGACAATTTATATGGTAAAAATATTTTCTTCAATATCGATTTATATTGAGGTTATTTTTTTAATATGCAGATAAGATAGATTTCACATTTTATTCAATTCGGCAATGCCTAATGGAAACTATGTTGATACAAACGCGAAATTTATTAACAAATCTAGTAACAAACTTTTTTTTCTATTGATTATTATATTTTTATTGTACTACTATTAATTGTACTACTACGAGATATTATAGAATTGTGTAGAATTGGGCGGAGGGCATTTTGAACATATGTTGTAACAAATTTTAAATAAGCGTTATTATACAAATACAATATCTCATAGTATTAATAGTAGCACAACAGAACTATAATATTCAATAGAAAAAAAAACTGTTACTAGATTTCCTAATAAATTTCGCGTTTGTATCAACATTATAGTTTCCATTAGGCATTGCCAAATTGAATAAAATATGAAATCTATCTTATCTACATATTAAAAAAATAACCTCAATATAAATCGATATTAAAGAAAATATTTTTACCATATAAATTGTCTGTGATATTTCATAAGTTGACAAGTTCTCATATTTATTATTTTTAATTTATTTTTTTTATTTTTTCATGTTTAAATATGACTCAATCAATAGCATCAGCATCATTGTACATATAATTACTTAAATTTTTTTAGGTATATCGGTAAAGATGCAAGAGTACCTTTATCACTAACCGTCCCTGAACGCGCGAACTTTAGACTACCTGATTTGTCTATTACAAATGCTTCCCATTTGAAAAGTATTATAGCCTTCACATTTTCGTATTAGGATTTTCGTCTTACTTTTTGCTCAGAAATACGTTATTAAAATTTCGGTCACGAATTGCGGTACACCAGAAACCGAAAGGAGTGATCCTCTATAACATTTTAATTATCCAAAAATAATTCTAATTAATTATTTAAAAAATCTTTACAATACATTGTGTGACAATTTCTATTGTGATATTAGATTTTCGCGCCGCACAATATTATTTTTTCTTGCACGTAACTTTCTCCGCTGAAAAATTTTTTCGGGTTTTGTTATTGCTATATTATACATATACATGCACACACGCGCACAAACACAAATACACACACAGATTCACACGTAACTTATAATATCGATAACAAATATCGAGCACAATACGTACCTACTTTATAGATACATTTATGGAAAGGAGATGTTCCAGTACACGTGTTACATGAAAAACTGAAGCCGTTCCTTCAGAACTAAAGTCAAATATGTAAAATCGCCCGTCACGTGATGCTTCCTGAGTGAACCGTTTATCCGTAGGTCATTGCATTAATTTTAAAACATTGTGATGACAATTTGATATCAAGTCCTAACTGCAGAAAACAGCGGATTCAAACTAGATTACAATAGCACGTACTGACGTATTCAACCTGTTGCGTAATTTGTGGCTTTATTAGGAACGTTACACACTTTATTAGGAAAATTCAAGTCGATCTTTTGTAATATTAACGACTCTGTTAAACTAGAATGCATTTAAAATTAACTCTACGGTCTCATTAGCCATTTACCTCTCTCTTATATTTTCCGGAAACTTAATATGTATATATTCTCTGAAAATTCTTCCTATATGAAAAACATCATACAAGAGAGCTGTTAAAAATATTTTCTCAAATATAAAAGATTTAACAAATTGTATCGTATCTGCTAAATACTATCAGGTCTAAATTATTCCAGTATTTAAAATACGTTTAAAATAAATTAGAGTTGATAACATCTAGTTGATAATGTCAATCCATTCTTGTCAGTTTATAACGCAGTTAGAAAGAGTTAATCATTTAAATATACAAGTTCTAAAAACGACTTTTTTTTACAAAATTGTTCAATTAAACGTTACCCAAACATGTAGCTCTTTTATGGGATTAAATTAGAATAGAATCAAAATATAATCTAGTAATTATAACAAGCATTTCTTGATATCTGTAAAAAACTTGTTAACTATAAAGAACACAGTGATAAATATATATACATATAGATAAAAGATTTATCTATTATAATACCACATAAAAAATTTACGGATGCTTTGACATAGATGGAAATTGGGATTAGTAAGGAAAAAAAACATTTAAGAAACTAATTTATTAATAAATTTGGATTACTGCTCTCTTCCTCCCCTCTTCCCCCTCTTTCGCAAATAAGCGAGCAAGCAATCGTGCAAATTTAGGAGATACATAAAAAACATATTTTTTCCTTTGTCAATCAAAACGAATTAATTATACCAGTTAAAGAAATAGTCATCTTTTAGTTCTCCATATTCTAATACTCTCCATATTATCTTAAAACAGAAGAGTAGAAAATAATTGCGACGTATAGCTTATCTCTACGGTCTCATGGACAACATAAGTGGGAGCATTTCTTTCATAGCGGGAGTGGGCTGTTTGAAATCCTTAGAAAATTTGCAAGGTGACTGAGCTTGATGTAAAATTTCATAGATTACATATTCTAAGGTGTAATATACAGTACAAGTATCTAATAAGGTAAATATCTTATTCGAGATGATTAGGGGTAAGGATATGATTTATTCCTTGAGCAAACTGTCGAAATATTAAAAGTTAGGCGATTAAATATTTAAGCGAAAGAACAAAAGAGATACAAGATTGACACCGGACTAGTTATCTGTCTAGGACAAATAACACGTCATCGTAAATATCTTAGCGCAAACTTGAAACGAACTGCGACTCCTTTCGTTCTTCGAGAGACGACAGTAATATATATCAAACTCGTCTCTAACGATATAAAATTTATTCACGCAGTTTTAACTCGCTTTAACCTTCAACATATGAATCGTTGAAGTACATAGGAATCACTTATGCCTTTCTACGTAAAGTACGCATATCAGCACATTAATACATTTTGCATATAGGTACATACATGGAAATTGTATATGACCGGTAATCACAGTCAGATCTTATATTCAAGACCGTCTTGAAATCATCTTTAAATATTCCACAGCGAATGAAATGTTCCACGGTGGCATCTTTAGATAAATTCAAGACGATCTTGAACATAAAATCTGACTATGAATACCGGTATATGCATGGACCAAAAAAATAACGCGGACGGAGGATTTCTGCGAGGGGAAGCTGAAATAGCGGTAAGGGGAGATGTGGCGCACTTTGGCTAAATTCGTCATACGTTCGGATATATTCGGTTTTAGTTTGAACGGACATACATATACGAGTGCGTCGTAAAGGACAGCACGAATACACGAGCCGGTCAGTGGTCTATTGATTCGACATAGAATCGAATGGAGTGCTGATCGCAGTGGTGGGGCTACCCGCACGAGTAGAATGAGAGGCGGATAATATAAGGACACGACCCTCTTTAGTAAGTCTGATTGGTTACTGTAATTTCAGCAATCAATTGTACCCCTGTTGTCCCAATCGATACCGTATATGCTCCGTCCACGTTATTCTTAGGTCCATATTGGCTTATGTGTTCTGCATGTGCCTAAATTCATTCGGGAAGGCACCAGTGAGTGCCTAGGCCAGTATTCATAGTCAGATCTTATATTCACGACTGTCTCGAGATCATCTTTGGATACTAACAATAAGTAGCCAATGAAATGTTCCGTACAGCATCTTTAGATAAATTCAAGACGGTCTTGAATATAAGATCCGACTACGAATACCGATCCTGGTGTTGCAATACCGCAATGTAATTACGATGTCTATTATTGTCGCGACAAGCAAGAATAGATGCAAATTTGAGCCTTACAAGAATAAAGACTCATTATCGCCGGTAAATAATGAACCAACTTGGGAAAAACATAGTCTACACAACTGGCAAGTCCTGCTTAAGGAAATTTATTGTGAAAAATATTACCTCAGCCTGAGTTTGAACCTGGACCTCCCTACACTCTAGGCGGGCGTCTCACCAATTCGACCACTGAGGCATGTGGTAATAATTGTCGCAACAAACAGTCCGATGATGATATTTTCGCGTTTATTTTTCGATTTTAAACTACACGTCGTTTCCGGTTGTTGACAGTACCCAGTACTATCGATACGCGATTTTCAAGTGTCACCGTCCCCAACCCTTTCCTCAACCTAGACACCTTGAACTTCACGATTTCCGTAATTTTTCGATCACATTATGTGTGCATGTGTGTGCAATATGCAAACACGCCTCTAGTTCACGCACACAATCATTCACCCGAATGATTGAATTATACGAAGCCTGAGATTCTCAATTTCTTACATTGTCGATCGCGATCAGGCGCGAATAAAGAAAATAATAAAATGAATAAATTCGTATCTAAATTAAAAAAATCGACATTGACGAACGGTAACACACGCGAACGATCCACGGGGCAACAGCTGTTCACGGAATAAAGAATCAATTACAAGGAAAAAGCAGCAATAAAAATATCGGGTTTCGATTCCACTCATCTCTTCTAAGAGCGTTCTCTCAACAATTGCAACGGTTCGATAAAGAAACAGAAGCCCGGCGAAATGAACAATCGTTTCTCGTTTCCTTCCCTTTTTAACGTTTGACACGACTTCGAGGGATGTAAAATTGTAGCACGACGAACGTACTGTTTCGTCATCTTTGTGCAGCCTTTACCTTCGCATTTTCCAAAGTCACAAGTCACGGTAGTGCTACCTTGATATCCGAAATAGTAGTCGCAGGCGTCGTTTTGTCAGAGATCGAGCAAATAGTGTGAGGGACTATTGCTCCTCGTTTTTTGTTTCCGGAAAAAAAAGGGAACTTTTTACGAGACATGCGTTACTCAAGAGCGATTGTGTTATAAAAATGCTGCAAGTTGGCTCTGCACGAAGGAGAATATCTTTTGGTCTACACGATAGGCGTATGCACATACGAACTACACGTTGCATATTGTGTGTAAATGATATACAAATGATGGCATGGTCTGCCATGTTCCGCGTTTCGACGCAATATTCCCGTGCGTCAACGCGACGGGAGGGAGAAGTGTGTCTCGTGCAGTTTTTCGGTCCCAGGGGCAGCATCCTGGGCGCGCGAATGAAACGTTCGCGAAAGCGTCTCCAATTTCTCCCCTTGATTCCTTCGCGTTTCGCCATGCGCGAGGTATTTCTCCTTGGATATATATATATATATATATATATATATGCAAATATGCAAAAAGCAAAAAGCTGGCACAATTTCGCGGACGTGAAGGACGTCGCGTGTGAATTTACTTACTCTGGGGAGAAACGCGTACGCCTTGCATCGCGACGCTGTCGCGTTGTTCGTCTGGCCGACCGTGGGGTCGGAGGTTGATTCGTTCATGGGCAACGCGTGATCCATTATACGGTTATTACGTCAAAACGGCGAGCGATAGGCGAATTACTCTCGCCCCGTTTAACGAAAAGCGAAATGGAAATGACGGGGAAAAAGAAGGACATTAGAAATTTCATTATTGTGTACGTAGAGCGCAGCCGATGTGTAGCGTCACGTAAGTGACGAAAATGTAAATCTCATAAAGTTGCACCATGGCGAAACGAGTTCTCGCGGCGGAGGCGCCACGGGCATCCTGCATAGTAGAGTCGATGGAACTCGATCTTCCGTGAAATCGAATTGCGACACGGTTTTTCTCTACGTGCCCGACAAGGGACGAATGTCAATGTACACATCGCTTAGCTATTGTATTCCGTAGCCGCAAGTTGCTTTTGCACCGCGAATGCCCTTTCCGTCGCGGTGGAATGCGAACGGAGGAACAGGGCTCGGAGATATTTGAGATATACAGAGAAAATTTGGCGTGGTCGAGATTCTTTTCTGTTTAAGTTGACCGGATAGAAAATACAAATCTGTCCCGTAGGTGTGGGTTCTTATTGATTCAATTTCGACACTGTACACACGTTCTTATTTCGTAGGTTCTACTTTTTACGTTCTGCTTCACGACGTCTAATCTTTTTGTTCTGTTCTGTTTATTGTATTGTTGTATAATAACCCATGCAACACGCATGTCTAACAGACGACTCGAAGACGTCTTAAAGATGTCTTTTAGACATACGTGCACTGAGAAAAATATCCGATTAAATGTAATCGGATAATCCAATTACATAATAACAAAACGGATATAACGGATATACCAATTAAATTGTATATCCGATGAAAAATATGATCGGCTTTTCAATCAAATTTCATCGGTAACTGCATTTCATCGGATTCATAATTTAATTGGAAAAATTAACCACCGAAAACACTATTTGATTGGTTTATCCGATAACAATTTTTCTCAATGTGTTGTTTTTTAAGCTTTCGATCTTGCGCTTTGATCATCTTGTTTTTGTCACAGCAGCAGACGACCGTCTTCTTTTGACGCGTACATGTTTTCGCCCCGCAATTACATGAGTATCGTAAACCAATCTTGCATTTATGCAATGAAATTATTATTTAAAAAGGAGAAGTGCCAATGTGAGCCACAAAATGAACTCGGTTCTCACAATACAGAAACTGAATTTCTCTTTAATATAAAATGTTTCGACCCTTCTTCGGGTCTTCCTCAGTAAGACTACAATGAAATCAACGAAAGTACAAAATGAAAATACAGTAGAACTTATGTATAAATTGGTATAACAAAAGTCAGTTACCTTGTTTAGAATGAACAGGGTTTAACTTAGGAGGTCAGTGCACCATGTGATTTCAAAATCATTCCTCTATATGTGTTAATATCAGTAGTTCTCTAAATGGTCCCAGACATGAAGAGGACTGAATAACACGCTTCGACAGAGGGATGTGTTCGTAACAACGATTTTAAAACGACTGTGACACAGCAGTATCGAACAAGGAGAAACCTAACAATAATGAAGTGTGGTAAACATGACAGGGTAAAATTAGTCATGTGTCTCAACTTTACTGAACAACAAACAAGGCGCAAAATTTAATTTATGTCCAGGCGAATCAGTTTCTTGTCCTAATAAAATTAAGTCAAACGAAATCAAATAAATACAAAAGTACTGCAATTAAGTCAACAAGGTAAAATTAAATTTAAAAACTGTAAAAGAATCAGATAAATAGCAAGGAACTAGTCATGCGATAAAACCCGAATCTACGGGAGGTGTGATACAAGTAACATAATTCGCACATTGAACAAAACTATAATCTTGCAAAGTCCTGGAAGATTAAAACGATACAATAAGCCAGAAAAATAAGGTTGACATCCAGAATTCCTCAAAATAATGTTCTCTCTCTCTCTCTCTCTCTCTCTAATTGCTTGAAAAATGATTTATATTAAAGAGAAATTCTGTTTCTGTATTGTGAGAATCGAGTTCCGTTCATTTTGTGGCTCACATTGACACTTCTCCTTTCTACATTGTATTTCTTTTCGGGAGCCTTTACAACTTGTTGAAATTATTATTGTCGCTACGAATTGATTCCAATCAATATCCTCGGGAGTTATTTCTACATTCATTAACGCGACTATTTCGCGTCAATAAATTTGAAATGAAACGCTTCACGATTACGGAGATGTATCGCTCCTATCGGTGTACTTAAGTGATACACAGCACGATGAAGGGCGAAGGGGTATTCCGAGAATACGTGGGAGACTCTATCGCCTATAGCTTGATGAAAAATCGCTAATCGCGTCGCTTCGTATCGCACCTGATGCCTTATAATGCTCCATCGAGCCCCAGTAAAATGCAAGTCTGGATTAGAACCGTGCCAGTGCGATAATATTGTCGATAAATATTTAAATGTAACAAATTGACGGAAAGGCCAATGTGAGCCCAAGCGCCGGATTAAAGAGGCGTTACTACCTTTTTTAAAAGGACCAGTTATTGTCAAGAATTCAAAATTCAAACGTTTCAATCCAATTCGGATCTCCTTCGGCAAGTAATTAGCGGAATACGGACATTAAGTGTAACTTCAACTGTCTTCCCGTCTCTCGGAGAAAAATTTACGTCCAAACTTGAAATTGATTCAGAAGACGGAAAGAAGGAAAGACGGGTGACAGATACACCGCAACGGAACGACTGTAAATATTTGGATTGCGAGAAACCGTGACAAAATTGCAGGAGACAGAATCTTCGGCAATTAACCAAATGCACACTTAGAGATTAATTTCCTCGGCATGAACGCGCTTATTGTTAGGAGCTTTTAAAACCTATCGAAATCTTTTGAAAGAATGAAAATTATGCAAAGGCATATATATATATATATATATATATATATATATGATCTTTCTGCCAAGCTCAATAAGATACGAGCCGACACGTGAGAAATTATTTCACGAAAGATTTCCGACGTCTTAAGTACATACGCGTGCAGTTCCACATATGTGATCGCACAAACTGCATACTATTTACCACACACACGCGCGCGCGCGTATAAATTGCACGCTATTTATTATTTACTACACATTTTATCTCAATTTATAGAAGAGTAAAACGGTGCATCATTAGCACGAGATCTTGACAATGACGTAAATTCCACGGCAAATAATGCAATAATAAATGACACGTCGCACGACGATCGAAATAAAGATTGAAATTGTTTGCGTGTAACGCACTTCTCGCGCGATAATTAAAAAACGCTTACGTCGTATGTCTATTTGGTCTGTTATATCTATAATGGGGATACATTGTAGAGATGATTGTGCTGTGTTTTAAGACTGACGATTTAAGGGGATGCTGGAGTGATTCTGCACTTTCGCACCTTTTGCACTTAAAACTGTGTTTCGTGGAAAGATTTGTGTAATACACAAATTAAATGGCACGTGTACAGATGATCGAAAGCAGCTTGCTATTCCGGCTAAATTAAAGAACAATATGACAGCACTGAAACT